AGGTGTCTCAGCAGTGGTGACCGCACCAAGGGAAAGCAGGCTACTTTCCTCTGAGGACAAAGCTCTCCCTGATTATCTTTTTTAAAGATTTTATTTATTTATTCAGAGAGAGAGAGAGAGAGAGAGAGAGAGAGAGGGAGAGAGGCAGAGACACAGGCAGAGGGAGAAGCAGGCTCCATGCAGGGATCCCGACGTGGGACTCAATCCCGGGACTCCAGGATCACACCCCCGCCGAAGGTGGTGCTAAACCACCGAGCCACCACCCAGGCTGCCCAGCTCTCCCTGATTATGCTCACCACTAGGCCTCCCTCTCCTGGAGGCCTGTGAGACCCCCCCCCCCCAGCAGCTGTGGAGGCGCAATGGAAATGAGCTGGCCTGAGTTCTGAGTCTCAGGTCTTCCTAGAAGGCTAGCTTCTCGATGAAGGAAGTTCAAACCTGTCTCCCCACAAGGTGCAGAGGGGCTGTCCCAAGCGCTGGAGGGCCTCTGGGACAACACAGTTCCTGAGTGCAGCTCCCCACTGGCCCCTTCTGTGAGGAAAGTCCAACCTCTCAGCCCAGCAGACAAGTCAGGGCAGTGGGAAGGCTGTGGGCTTCAGGCTGAGAACCAAGCCCTTCTGGAGGGAAACTTTCAATGAGCCCTCACACCTGAGGGAGGTGAGCAGCTAGCTCCAGCCTTGGTCATTGAGGGCCAGTGGAGAGGCCAGGTACTTTTCACTGAGAAAGCAGCTTTCCTGGTCTTCAGCTTACACTGAGCCTGTCACCGGGGTGAGTTAGCACACCCTCTCCACAGTTGGTGTGGAGGTGAAATGATAGATGCTGCTCTTCAGGGAGATATTTGCATTTATACCCACATGCTTATTTTTACATATATAATTTTAGAAGATTGTGACATTTTGCAGCCTTTTTTCTTTTTTAAAGATTTATTTATTTGAGAGAGAAAATGAGGGGAGGAGGGGAGAATCTTCATGCAGTTTACCTGCTGAGCACGAAGCCCAATGTGGGGCTCTGTGCAACCCAAAATGGATCTCACATGATGAGATCATGATCCAAGCCAAAACCAAGAGTTGGATGCTCAACCTACTGAGCAACCCAGCTTTAAAAAAATTTTTTTTAAAGTATCAACCCTACCAAAGGCTATACATCTTGTTAGTAACCAATGTTTTATTCTGTTGCATCATAACTCATTTGACAATTCCATATTGATAGATTTTTTTGTTTCTATGACTAGCCTTACATGTTTCTACATATGTCTATTTTCCTTGGGCAAATTCCTGTACGTGGAGTGTTTGAGTCAGAACATCTGCACATTTTACATTTTATTAAAAGCCTGCAGGAGGGCAACTGGGTGGCTCAGTGAGTTAAGTGTTTGCCTTTGGCTCAGGTCATGATCCCAGGGTCCTGGGATTGAGTCCCACATTGGGCTCCCGCTCAGTGAGGAGTCTGCTTCTCCCTCAGACCCTCCCCCCTGCTTGTGCGCTCTCTCTCTCTCTCTCTCTCAAATAAACTATTTTCTTTAAGAATCTGCAGAAATGGTGTGCCTGGCTCAGTTTGTGGAGCATGTAAATCCTGATCTTGGAGTCCTGAGTTCAGACTCCAGATTGGGCATGAAACCTACTTAAATAAATAAAAGTCTGCAGGAAGGTAGTAGTTTACACTGGGAGCTTATTCACAATCATCCTGGACCTTCGTTAGTCATACTCTCTTCTGATTCCTACTTCAACCTCCATCTCAAGTTAGGATTCATTTTACTAACTGAACTAAAGAGAAGGATTTCTGCAGTGTTTTTTTTAATTTTTTTTATTTTTATTTATTTATGATAGTCAGAGAGAGAGAGAGAGGCAGAGACATAGGCAGAGGGAGAAGCAGGCTCCACGCACCGGGAGCCTGATGTGGGATTCGATCCCGGGTCTCCAGGATCGCGCCCTGGGCCAAAGGCAGGCGCTAAACCACTGCGCCACCCAGGGATCCCTCTGCAGTGTTTTTAAACTGGACTTCTAGGAGTCTCATAGAAGTGTCTGTCTTTGTCATTGGCAAATTGTTGTTAGCTCTATAACAGCATTTTCCATTTACAGACCATCACGACCACCATCCAGACATGCCATGAACATTATGAACCCCATTTTGCAAATGAGCAGAGGGATCTTAGAAGGAAGGACAGCCAGAGGATACCAAGTAAGTACTCTGGGCCCATCAAGCTTTTCTCAAGCACAATGGTGAACTCTGTGAGCTGGGAATGGTATTTTTTATTTATTTATTTATTTACGATAGTCACAGAGAGAGAGAGAGAGAGAGGCAGAGACACAGGCAGAGGGAGAAGCAGGCTCCATGCACCGGGAGCCCGACGTGGGATTCGATCCCGGGTCTCCAGGATCGCGCCCTGGGCCAAAGGCAGGCGCCAAACCGCTGCGCCACCCAGGGATCCCTGGGAATGGTATTTGAACTATATACTAAATTTTTTCTTTCATTAAGTTCTGTCTCCAAGGTGGGGCTTGAATTCACAACCCCAAGATCAGGAGTCCCATGCTCTATTGATTGAGCCAGTCAGGTGCCCCAGAAATTGAGATCTTAATCCCTTTGTGTGAGAAAATCAATGCAAGTCTTTGAATGGTTCAGATTAAAACAAACCAGGAGTAGGGCACCTGGTGGCTCGGTTGGTTGGGCATTGGGCTCTTGTTTTTGGCTCAGGTCATGATCTCATGCTTATGGGATCAAGCCTCAAGTTGGGCTCCACCCTTGGTGGGGAGTCTGCTTGAAGATTCTCATCCTCTGCCCCTACCCCTGCACATGTGCATGTTTGCATGCTTGCTTTCGCTCTCACCCTCTCACAAATCTTTTAAAAAAATAAACCAGGATTTATCAATGATATTTTTCAATATTATCAATGTAATCAAGTAGTTTACTAAATCACAAATTCTAATCTTTTCAAGATTGGCTTCTAAGTAAGGGAGTCAAGTACAGATAATGTAAACCCCACTTTTTAAAAAGATTTTTCATTTCTTCATGAGAGACGGAGAGGCAGAGACACAGGCAGAGGGAGAAGCAGGCTCCCTGCGGGAAGCCCAGTGTGGGACCTGATCTCAGGACCCCAAGATCAGGCCCTGAGCCAACGGCAGATGCTCAACTGCTGAGCCACCCAGGCGTCCCTAAACTCCACCTATTTTGATTTTATTTTCCTCCATCTGGTTCATGCCTCTTCCAGTCTCAAGGCTGATAGTTTATTTTTCAGGTTCCTTGTATGAATCATACTCCACAGACCTGTAAAACAGCACTATCTCCTTCCTCCCAGAGCTCTTTGCTCAACAAGCAACAAAGTCAAACCCCTCCTCCCAGTTTGGGCTACAGATATGAAAATGTGGCCAAAGAGGTTCACCTAGGAACTATGGCAGAACAACTTCTTTGGGCCTTTGGAAAACCCCTAAAGCAGACTTTTTTTTTTTTTTTTTAGGCAGACTTTAAATGAATGAAATGGACCTAAAGCTGAGTCTTATGAATCTTATGGATTCCTTCACATGAAGGGAATTTTCCTTAGTAGTCTTATTTTTTCAGATTTTTACATTTCTTTGAGAGCACAAGAAAGAGATAGCATGAATGGGGGATGGGGTGGAGTAAGAGGAGAGGGAGAAACAGACTCCCCAGTGAGCAGGGACTCCATGCCTGAGATCATGACCTGAGCCCAAGGCAGACCCAACTGACCCAGTCAGGCCATCCCTCTTTTCTTAGTTTTAGTAGATACTAAAAGCATTTTTTTAAAAAAGTAAGCTATGCACCCAATGTGGGTCTTGAACTTGGGACCTCAGAATGAAGAGTTGCAAGCTGTAATGATTGACCCAGCCAGAAGCCCCTTATGTGCTTTTTTTTTTTTTAATATTCAAGTTTTACCGGAGCAAAAAGGTAAACCTCAATCCCTCATTTTCCTTCCCCAAAGGTAAGAAATTATTTTGTATGTCCCCTTTCAAATCCAGAGTCTACATATTCAAACATCCAATTTTTTTACACATGCTATACACTGTACTTTGATTAGTATAAATAAAATATTTCGGCTTGCCAGTGATGACTGCAAAGATTAATGTATGGGGGGGGGCAGTGCATCCAGGATGATGGACTAGGAAGCTCTTGGACCCTGAGGTTCCACCCTTCTATACTGTCTCTGGACTGGATATTTCTTCCCATACCCACAAAGAAGCTTCCATAAGCTGCCTGGGAAACAACTATTCCTAATTTGAGACTGTGACAAAGATCTAGCTTCAGAGGGACATAGGGTGGCTCAGCTGTTGAGCGTCTGCCTTAGGCTCAGGTCGGATCCCAGAGTCTTGGGATCGAGTCCCACATCGCGCTCCCCACAGGGAGACTGCTTCTCCCTCTGCCTGTGTCTCTGCCTCTTTCTGTGTGTCTCTCATGAATAAAGAAGTAAAATCTTAAAAAAAAAAAATCTAGCTTCAGAAAGCGCGTGTGCACCTGAACGTGTCTAAATGAAGGTAGTTTTAGAGCTCAGTATCCTCCTGTGAATCGGTCTCATTTACTTCTGTTTATTACATGTCTGGTTCAGGATCTCTGAATGTCACTAGGTGCATGTCACCGTTAGTGTGACACGGTGCATCATTTTGGTGTGGGTATGAGCGTGTGAATGCGCTGTCGTTATCCAGACGTTCCTGTTTGGTGTTAATGTATTTTAGGTAACTGTTGCGGTAAGGTCTATTTTTCAGTCCCCAGCTCCCCCACTCACTGCATGCCAACACTCCTGAAGGATGGGCGGGTGCCGGGGCACAGGCTCGGCCCAACTCCGCTCTCCCAAAGAGAATCCAACAAGACTTCCGGGAGTCCACCAGGAACGCGGAAAAGGCCCCTGCACTCGCACCACGCGTGCAGCCTGGGGTAAGAAGAGAACGCGGGGGTCGCGCGTTCTCTCGCGCGCCCTCTAGTGGTCCCAAAGGGCAGCGGGGACAGAACGAGGGGGCGGAGCCGGCGGCGGCGGAAGTGAAGTCACTTCCGGGCTGGGGTGTTTGTTTGGACTGGAGAAGGGAGGCGGCGGGCGACGCGCGCGTCGAGCGGGGGAGCGGCGCTGCCTGTGGAGATCCGCGGAGGCCGACCGGATTCGTTGGCTGCCGTCCCCGCTGCCGTGCACTGGGTGAGGGGTTCCCTCGGGCAGAGCGGCCAGAAGGGTGCGGCGACCCCGGCGGTCGAGGGACAACACCGCGGCAACGGTTGAGGGACCTGGAGGGTCCCCCGGGTTGTTGGCCGCCAAGTCTCGTATGGCTTTCCTTATTCCTTGCACCTTTAGTCGCGTCCGAGCGATGAGCTGGGACTGACTTAGGCTCTTCTCTGAGAAATGGCCGTCGCTTTTTTTCTCATTGTCATTATTATTTATGATCTGGATCTCGCAGCACTCTATCCGGGTCTTCGATGGCGCGCGAGGGTTGCCGGGATAGCACTTTCTCGTGCCTTCCCCCCCTCCACTTCTTCACCTCCTCGCTAGTACCCTTTTCCCCTGCCCCACTCACCCCCCCCCCCGCCGCTACGGCAACAAAGCTCATTGTTTCTCCCCTGTTTACGCCTGCGCGTCGCCACGCGGAGCCCCTACTTGCTGCGCTTGCGCACTGCTCCCGTAGCTGGGGCCGGGGAAGAGAAGGGGCGGAGGGACTGGCGGGCTGACGAGCGCTCTAGGGGAGCCTTCTGCGGTCGTCCTCGGGCCAGTGCCGTTCTGATCCGCTTTCTCCCGCTTCTTCACCTTCACTCATTCTTTATTCTTTCTTTTATTTTTAGTTTATTTTTATTTTATTTTCGTTTCCCATGCTCAGGATAGGAGGGCTGGACCTTTACTCCGGGAGGGTTGTGAGCCAGATGAACTTTAAGGCCCATCCGATTCATATTTTTGGATTCCCGTCCTCTTCATTTCTCTTCCACTATGTGCCTACTCCCCACTGCCACTAAAATTACGTGGCCTGTGGTGAAATTTGTCTTTTCAAGACATTATTGAAACAGCCAGCAGTTTGGTTTTCTGGTGAGTCAAAAAGGGGCCTTTTCTGCTTCCTTTTGTTGCCTTGTTTGCCCAGATTTTGCAGCCCCATCACCTCACCGAAACCTCAAACTCAGGAAGGGATTTGGCTTCTGATCTTCCGTGGGGAAAAGTCTAACAGCTGACAGGTTTTGACATTTATTTCAAGAGAAGATAACTTCCCGTTTTCGTGTGCTGCCAAATACTGTAGTTTCATGGCATGATTTTTCACAAATTGCTGTTGAGCAGGTGGTGTTTGCATTTTCTTCAGAATAGCCTTTGATATTCCAACCGCTACACGGTTATGTTAGGAAATAAGAAAAGGATCTAAGGATTTTTAATGTGTTTGCTGGTTTGTGCTTCTGACTCCGGTTTGTGAAAGGCTATTTGGGACAAATTAGCTTGTTTATGCTACTTGTTAATTGTGAATTTGTACAAGACTAATCTTTTCTCACAAATAAGTGTCTACAACAAATAAAGATAGGTGACTTTCCAAAAATGACAGCCTATTCATCTCTTCAAGGGTTGGGTGTTAGGCAGTGGAAGCTCCCTGGGATGGTTAAAGGCTTGGGAGCTGGGAGGGTTTTATTATATATATGTTGCTACTGATGAGCTTGAATTGAGGTAGATGATCTCTACCCTCTTCAGAACAGAGTAAGTTTATAGGAGGCTCTTCCTTCAGTAAGCACTGTACACCTTATTCAGGTTTATCCCTTTATGACTCTAGTGAATGATGCTCCAATTTCAATAGAAAATATAAACATTTGTAAAATGTTGTTAGCGTAGCAATTTCATGGATGTTGTGAGCGGTGAAAGAAGGTAGAAAATAAGGCCTCAGGCCCCTTCCTTTGGTGCTTTTACATATTTTTGTAATTTACAGAGTTACTCATTATCATAACCTTATGATACAGGCAGAGCAAGTTTTATCTTGCCCATTTTGAAATGGAGGAAATAAAAGTTTGAGAGATTATTTTATTAGGTACGTATTTTTATTCTAATTTAGATATTTAAAAAAAGATTTATTTATTCGTGAGAGACAGAGAGGGAGAGGGGGAGAGAGGCAGAGGGAGAAGCAGGCTCCATGCAGGGAGCCTGATGTGGGACTCGATCCTGGGACTCCAGGATCACGCCCTTGGCTGAAGGCAGGTGCTAAACACTGAGCCACTCAGGGATCCCCTCTAATTTAGATTTAAATAGCCGTATGTAGTTATTGGCCACCGCATTGGATAGTGCAGACTTAGAGGTTTGAATTGTTTCAGCTTATTTTTTAACCTTCTATATTTTTACATTTATTGATTTGTAGAGTGAGTGGGGCAGTAGGGGGAGAGGAGAATGGTGGAGAGAAAGGAAAAGAATCTTAATTAAGCAGGCTCTACACCCAAGTGCAGAGCCCCACACAGGGCTCATTCTTAATGACCCTGAGATCATGACCCGAGCCGAAATTAAGAGTCAGATGCTTAACCGACTGAGCCATCTAGGTGTACCCCCATCTGCTTATTTTTTGTATCAGTTTTTATGACTAAGGATGGCGTTTCTGATGTGCTTTGAGCTTTTGTCAGTAGGGATGTGATACGCAGTGCTGAGCCATCCTTACTCTCACCGGATCACCTTTGTTACACCTAGTTGAGATTAGGGCTAAAGTCCTCGTTTTTTGATGTTTGACTCCTACGGGTTTTTGAAATTTTATATTTTTTACCTTATACCTTGCTACAGCAACCTTTGATCTAAATGTTTAATAAGCACCAAAATAGATAATAGTGTCATGGGCCAGGCTCTGTGCTTAGATTCTGTAATTATTATCCACTTAATAGATGGGGAATCTGAGACATGAAGGGGTTAAATAACTTGCCCTTGGATTCTAGAGCCCCTGCTTTTAATCATTAATGTATACTGCCAAACATTAAAACGAAAAATTCAGTACTGCTTACAAATTTCAGTGGAAAACAAGCTGAAGTAGAAATTTCTTTATCCTTTCTCACTAGCTGCTAGAGAGATAACTAATTATGATAATAATGTGTCTGCAGTTAAGGTTAAGAAATCACAGTACTTCAGAAGAGAGCCTGGTGGAATAAGAAAAGGTGCCTGTGGAGTCAGATTAAGGAAAGAAGAGAGGACTCTATTTGAATTTTTTAAAAATTTTATTTATCTGAGAGCATGAGCAGGAGGAGGGGCAGAGGGAGAGGGACAAGCAGACTCCCCACTGAGTGTTGACCCTGACAAAGGGCTCCATCCCAGTACCCTGTGATGATGATCTGAGCCAAAATCAAGAGTTGGCATTTAATGAACTGAGAGCCACCCAGGTACACTTCTATTTGAATTTTAATGAAAATTCTTTAGAGGTGAAACAAGGGGGAAAAGTTTGTAAGACTTAAAAGATTTCCATATTTAAATTTTTTCTAGAGGGATCCCTGGGCGGCGCAGCGGTTTGGTGCCTGCCTTTGGCCCAGGGCCTGATCCTGGAGACCCCGGATCGAATCCCACGTCAGGCTCCGGTGCATGGGGGCCTGCTTCTCCCTCTGCCTGTGTCTCTGCCTCTCTCTCTCTCTCTCTCTCTCTCTCTCTCTGTCGTGTGTGACTATCATAAATAAATTTAAAAAAATTTTTAAATTTTTTCTAGAAACCATTAGGTGAAAGAGGCATTTTGGGAGGGAAGAAACAGCAGAATATGTGAGTTAGTAGATTGAAAGCATTAATGGCATTAATAGGAAAAAACTGCTCTCACCTAACCAAAATCTGGTGAGATTTCTTCATGTGTTAAGCTCTCATGTTAGACTCTCACCAGAACAGGATCTTTATAAAAGAAAGAATACAACACTGAAAGCTGGAATATTTGCAGATGATAGAAAGGACAAGTGTAAATCTGTCTCATGTAAAATTACTATTCAAACATGAAAGCAAAAGCCATTTTCAGACATGCAGTGGCTTAGAAATAAATACCTTCAGGTAACCTTTTGAGGAAATATTAAGCCAAAACTAACATGTCAGGTTAGGGGAAGATAAGGAATAAAAGAAACAATGACAAGCAATGATTCTAACACACTGTAAACAGACAATGTGAATTTTAAGTGTTTGGTTCAGAAATTCTTCTAAAAGATCTATACCTAAGGGAAAACGAAATAGTATGAAATTAACACTGCTTAAATTAAACACGGAGATAGGGAGGAAGGAAATGGGGTTAAGTAGAATCATAGTAAAGGTTCTTGTCTGGGAGCAGGAATTGGGTTGGATAGCCTGAACAAGGGAAAGCACTCTCAGTGTCTTAAATTGGGGCACCGGGTGACTCAGTCGCTTAGGCCTTCAGTTCAGGTCATAATTGCGGGGTCCTGGGATTGAGCCCCTCATTAGGCTCAGCAGAGAGTCTGCTTCTCCCTCTGCCTCTCTCCCTGGCTTGTGCTCGCTGGCTCTCACTCACTCTCTGAAAAAAAAATTTTTTTTTTTTTTTTTAAATTCATGAGAGAGCAGGAGACGCAGGCTCCATGCAGGAAGCCCAATGTGGGTCTCGATTTCAGGACTCCATCCCAGGACCCAGGCATCACAACCCTAGCCAAAGGCAGACACTCAACTGCTGAGCCACCCAGGTATCCCTCAAATAAATAAAATCTTTAAAAGAAAATGTCTTGAATTAGTTGGGGGTATATAGAGCCTGGTTTTAATTCATAGAGATCTATGTAAATCTATCCTAATTTCACAATAGATATGTCACATTATTCTCCTGTACACCTTAAACGTTACGGTGCTGATATCAATTATATCAGACTTGGGGGAGAAAACTGATACTCCTCAGTAGTTTGTAAGTCACAGAAAATAAATGCAGTATCTTAAAACCTCTATTAAAAAATGGGAAAATAGGGGCACCTGGGTAGCTCAGTCAGTTAAGCATGTGCCTTCAGCTCAGGTCATGATCACAGGGTCCTGGGATCAAGCTCCGAGTCGCACTTCCTGTTCAATGAGGAGTCTGCTTCTCCCTCTCCCTCTGCCCCTCCTGCTCGCATATGCACATACTCTCTCTTCTGAAATAACATCTTTTTTAAAAAGTAAAAAATAGGAATGCCTGGCTGGCTCAGTTGGTAAAGCATGTGACTTGGTCTTGGGATTGTGAGTTTGAGCCCCACGTTGGGTGTAGACATCACTTA